ACAGCATTTATTCATGAGACCTACGAACACGGAAGAACATCAAAACAAAGATGGGGCGTCATGTTCCCAACTTTTCCAAGAAAATATCAAACCAACCTCGCAAAATCTACAAAAAGCAGTCTTGCATAGCCTGTATTTATCTTTATCTGTAATATTAAAAAAGGGGGAAAAGAAGGCCAAAATTACGCTAAATGTTTTTGTGAAAACCTCATTACTTAAGTTTAAATCCACTTATTTATGGAATTCACGTAACGAAATTAGAATTTTATCAAAATTAATAATACCGCATTCTTACACGGCAGCACTCCTCGAATAAGGAGCAACTGCATATCATTATGTTTTGTGCTAAGATTTCGCGTTATTAAACATGACTTTCTTAACATATAGAATGATAAAATGTTGGATTTCAGGTTTTGAATTAAATCATCATAGTGCATTTTCCATAAAACGTCCCCTCTGTAGGCTGAAAACAGTGTCTTTCGCCTTTCGCTGATTACTGATTTCTAGGCTCACTATAAATTCAAACAACCTGAATGACTAAAATTGTTGATCGTAGCCTGATGAAACTGATAAGCACTCGGCCAGCTGATTATGAAATCATTAATGAAAACCGTGAATAGTACTAAACGAGTCTGTGTCATTTATGAGCGTCAACTTCACCGATTTCTACCAATTTGGTCTCCGTAAAGTTTGATGTAATAACACTTGGCTTACTGGAACGACTTGAATACGCACAAAAGAAGTGATTAATTTCAGGGAATAAATTCATCAGCGTGCTCTGACGATATTTTGTGATAATTTGTCGGTGACTATAGGATATTTTGATGGTTTAAAATACGTCTTTTCAAGGAATAAATTCACCAGCGCGCTTTGACGATAGCTTGTGTTATTTTTTCGGTGAATATAGGATCTTTTGATGGTCATAGCTTTATAGTGGCTCTTTGAATCTGTAGTTGATGCAAGAACGAGGAATTTCTATTGTATGCGTTCATACACAATGCACCATCAACCCTAATTATTTCCCACAAACCAGGCTTCTACGCTAATCGCTCAGTTGAAAATAAGGACACCAGAAAAGTAGTACAATTATTCATGTTTCTAAGCGCATCTGGAAAACAAGCTCAAGACACGCTGGCTCCGCCAAGGTAATCTGCATTACCGGGAAACAGTGGCTTTGATTTATTTTCCACACTCATTTACTTAACACTTGTGCTCGTGCAAATAAAGTCTTATCACTTTGGGTATAGCTCCTAAATCCTTAAGTCTTCGAGTGAAGTGAAAATTAACCCTTTTATCGCGATCTTCGCTTCGAAAGAAAATTTAAAAGAGAAACGTGACATTGCAAGCTTTAAATTAGCATTTTGCTTTTCAGTTATTTGGCTCAATTAACTTTAATCTTGGAACTTCGAACTCCTGCTTATGCTCAAGTCCAATTCAAGTTCAATCTTGAGTAAAAGCTAAAATTCATAGAAATCGGCGAGATTAGCGCTCATGAATGACAGAAACTCGTCTAGTTATTCAAGTTTTTTAAGTTCAATTTTGTCGCACATTGTCAAGATGATATGATCCTAACGTCCGCAAAGTGAGTAATCTGACGCAGTTGAAAGTGATTCCTTATGAATCATTTACAGTTCCTTTCTGCTGAAGTTACAAGAATTTTATTACAGACTTCGACAACAATTTAGAATGGTTTTGTGTCGTGTTTATGAGCTATATATAGCAATTTCGAGCGTTAACAACGATGAAGTTCACTGATCATTCAAGAATTGTCACAATTCTGCCTGCCAAGTCTAAAATATTGTTTTCAAAGTCAAGCCAGTCCATTTATGGAAATTGAAAATTGCAAGTTTCGGTTCATTTAATTCTATTGATACGCGTTGAGTTTGTTCCTGAATGGAACCCAATCGATAAAACGTGCACCATTAGATCAAATTTTTTAATTGTAAAACATTTTCGTCGACATTCACTTGGCTTAATTAAACACAAAACATAGATATCTGAAACCGTTGCGAGGAATAAACATTAGTTACTACCACGTTATTAGACGAAAAACGCGGGAGAATATGACCGGAAACCCACGGCAATGGCCTGAGTTGAGTCTCCTGTTTTTCCGAGAAAAAAATGTAAATAAGATTTCCAGACACAAAGAGCAAACCCACAACAATGACCTTAGTCAAGGTTCATCCTGTTTTTCCGAGAAAAATTAAAAAAAAATTCCAGAAACAAAGAGCAAACCAACACCCACCTGAGTCAAGCTTCCTGTTTTTCCGAAAAAAAATTTTAATGAGATTTCCAGAATCAAAGACAGTTTTACTCTCCAGCAAAAGTTAAATAAAAAGACTGAAATGGTGCTATTGTAAAAGGAGAAAAAGAACTCCAGCCTCATTATTCCTCCGTGCCACAAATTTCTTCCAAGCGAAAACTTTCTAAATTATACTGAACTTTTACATACTGAATAAAGTAATGTGGTGGGAACCTTCACCCTCAAAAGAAAACCCGCTTAAATTATATTATTTTCGTAAACTGCAAATATGAAGCTTTATTCTGATGTAGAATCTGCTAACCTTTTTAGTGAAACTAGAGCACGCGCACGTACGAATTTTTATCCTGAAAGACACCCGTGAAGGTGGGAAGTATTTAGTTTTAGTTTAGTTTTAGTTTAGTTTAGTTTATGCCGACTAGGTGTGTTGTTTCAGGAATGTATGAAGCGCGATACCCTGTTGCAAATTTCGCACGTTGCTACATCCTTCTACAACACACTTAGTCGGCATATTTTCGGACAATATCGACTACAGCCTTCCCAAAAAAGTGAAAATGTGTGAAATGCAGACTTTCGTGTTCTCGATTTGACGTCACATTACCCGCTAGAGCCATTCCTCTTTAAACTCGGTCGTGGGGCAAGATGGCGGCCGATTTTCCGTATTTTGACTGGGCACAGAAAATTGAAGATTTGAGCAATTAAAAAATTTTGCAAAGAAATACTCCAAAAAATACGCTTATTTCGTTAAGCGAAAAAACATTTTGGGGTTTAGGTACGCTTTAAGTGTTCCCCCTCTCGGCTTCTGACGTAGTAATGATATTATATCCAAGATGGTGCTGGAAATTCGGTTTTTCAAATTTTAGTTTCCGTTACGTCAAAATTTTAGTTTACGGACAACTCTATCACCGGGCTTAGTTCCAGGCGAACGAGAAATACGGAAAATCCACTTGTATTCTGCGCTATAAAAGTGAACGAAACAACGAAAGGTATTCAACAAGTTTTAAAAGAGTCATACTCGACGGAAATTCCTCTAGAGTCACACTCAAAGCCATTGCAAGTAAATCATAAATTCTTTGAACAAAAATAATTAGTGTCTCTGAAAATATCAAAGTGGTGGTACTAAATGTGACGTCAAGGAAATTTTATAATCGAAAATAACAAAATAACTTGTTTTCCGTTACTCCGTAATCCATACTTTCTGGACCGTCGTGATATAGCCTGCGTTTTGTTCGGAAGTAAACCGTATTTAATATACCTCGATTCATCATTTCCGTAAAATTTCGTTTTACGTCTCTAAATTCAAAAATTTCCATTGTTCTTCCCAAAAAGAAAATAAAAAGAGAGTAATTGTTCTCAGGCCTTAATCCTGAAAATATAGAAAAAGGCCGATTTTACTGCACTTTAGATACATTTCCCAATTTGTGGGACAAAATCCACCCACTTGACACACATTTTGAAATATCGCTAAATGCAGCAGGAGAATTGCGTAGGAAAGTAATTCATCATTTAACCTCCTCACATTTGGAGATTCAGTTCCATGGAAAAGTATGAAAATGTAAGAGGAAAAGTACTCTTCCTTTAGGAATTTCCCATATACATTTTTAGTGAAGTGTGAACGAATGTTGTTTTGTCTTGTCGAGAAACACGCATAATTTAAAAAAAAATTTAATTAATCAAAATACTTTTTCGCGATTCATAAGTCTGCGAGAGACTATCTTTTTTTCCGTGAACCTAAAATTTCAAGAATTGTGATGAGGTGCATAATAAGAAATCATCTCGTTTCAAAAGAATCATGAATCTTGGCAGATTTAAGCGCTCAAAGATGCGTGATATCGTGCGCTGGTTTGAACTGATTTGTCATCAGATAAAGTTGAAGAAATCAATGCAAATTCCTTTTCTGAACTAAATTTGGAAAATGACCGCGCAGAGTAAAGAAACAAGTAATCCATTGTGCGGTCCTCCTTTTTGTTTGTTCTTTGGGGCACATGAAGCTTTTCTTCACAGGTCCCCCTTAACGTTTGTCTGATTACTTGCAGTAATCTAATATTATGAATTGAGAGCGTTTCGAATAATTGTCCCGTAGTATTTCCACAGCGTGAAGTCTGCTTGGTCAAGGAAAATATTACATGAAAAATATAGCTAACCTTCTCACTCGCCAAATCGTTATACTTCAGCCTGTTGCTGGAATGACTGAACCGTGATCTGCGTTTAGTGCTAGGGGATCATCTGTGTTATATGGGACCGCTAAAAGCGGAATGTAAAGTAGTCACCAGATATAAACAAGGAATCCACAGTTATAAATAGATACCCCAATATACAAATAAGGCATTCAGTGTGCTTTAAGTTATGAACGCGTCCAAAACAAATCTCGAATTATGGATGCAAATCGCGCAAATATCATGAACAGGCTGACGCATTATGAATAACACAAACAAAGAACTCCTGAGTCTGCAGCAGCAGGGGAACTTTAAGTCTTCAGCTGGCAGGAAAGTTCTAAATTTATTGGAGCCCAAACACACGTGCCGTGTATAAGCGTTAAGTGCCCAACGTCATAGTTTTGTCCCAGAAGCAGCAAAATAGAACAGCCCACCATAACGATTGGCATTGTTTCTCAATCATCAGAGTTAATAATCTATTAACTATGCATTCATGTATTTAGCCGGCATCTGACCCAAGAAGAAGAATACGCGGGTCACTAAGCGGCAACCCAGTACTTTGTGCAAGAATTAAGGTCTGAAAAGCCAAAGCAAAGAATACTTACTGTGTGGCTTGATGTACGATAATCCATCCGGAAGGATGTGGTATCGTTAAGTTAGTTGTTGTTTTGTAGCTTGCAAAAGCAAGTAAAATTTTAAGAAGGAAATCAAGTGAGTTTCTAGCGATGTGATTGATAAATTCGAACAGCAGCGAAGGAAGAAGGGTCGAGGAGAAATTCAAGAAGAAAAGTGTTATTCACCATTTGTATTATGCATTTCCCCGGTTGGAAATGCTGCCGGTTGTTTGGCACATTGGGAGGAGGGTTGTAAAGCAAGATAAAATAACTAAGACATGAGAGAAGACGTGAAACGCAAGGCTAAAAATTGTTTTTAGTTTTACACTTTTTACGTACGCAACCGGCACAAAGTTGTATTGGTATCCTTTATAATGTACGTACTTCGATAAAATATTCACTGAAATCTTCCTTCTCTCATTTAGGCCTGAAACAATACGTAATCCTCGCAAACATGAAAAAGATTTCCGGAATAGATAAAGGAAGAGGGAAACAGAGAATTTTTCAAATTCGTTCGTCGAATAAGGAAAGATGCCTATTTGATGTCAAGAGCGTAAGACAGAAAAAATAAACTTTCACTTCCTCTCGAGAACTCGAACCTCAGAATCTTGGATTTTTTGTCCATGTTAGCCATATGAAGTGTGTCGATGAGCTGAAAACATAACTTCTTCCTTGATTAATGACTGTCTCAAGCAAAAGGCCCGAGTTCCCTTCAGCTCAGCTTTTTTCGGGCACTCCACATGAACGCAAAATCCGATATTCTATGATTTTATTTGATTTACGGCGTCACAAAATGAATAACTTCTCTATAAATACAAAATTTGATTATGAATTTACCAACGTTCTTTCACAGATGCTACGATTTGACGGGCCATCCATTCCGTCTTTAAACGTGAGTCGCCTAACCTAACAGTGCGTGGTTATAAACAAAATAAAATAAAATGAGTCCGTTTTGATGTCGAGATAGGATCAGCTAGAAGATTTATACTGTAACAAGTAAAGTTTTTGCTTTCGATTACTATGCACGATAAAAATTTCCAACAAGTAGGCTAAAATTTGCATCGATGACTAGTTAAAATGCGTTACGGGAGCAACAGAAAGAAGTTAACAAAGCCTATTTGCAATGCAGATTGCTAATATGCTCTTCTAGAAAAATAAATCTTAGTGTGTCAAAACAGGATGTTAGCCATCACACAAGGGAATGGCAGTATCAAAGAGGTCTCAAATTAATGAAGTTAGGGCAGCAGAATAGGCAACTACATTTCGTCTGGCAATCATAGAGTCCGTAACGATTAATTAGAAGTATGCTTGGTTTATCATTTGCTGATTCCGTACCAGGAAGTGAGGTCGCAAACCAAATTAGACAAACTAAATAAGAATCAGTACACATTAACAATACAAGGTGGCCACAGAATTAAAAGAGTGCATTGATATTTGCTTCGGATTTACGTACTTATAAAGTTGACATTTTTGGAGTTGTTAAAGAGTTCGGCATGAGGGCAAATATGCAATCACATGATTCGTTATCAGATATTTGTTTTTAAGAAAACAAAGCAACAGGAAAATTAAACTTGCTAGGCGCAGTTTAATTTTCCCTGGAGCCTAAATAGCTAAAGTTAGGCGACAAGGAAGAGATGTCGAGGATACATAGGAGACTTAAAGGACACTGATGGATTTCCAGCCACTATTTTACCACAAGAATCCTTTAGTTTGAACTTCCTGATGTAACAACGGACGATGATACATTTAGCATATGCTCAAGTATTTAAGAGAGCGCTAACGACTGAGCTAGTGGGTTTCACAGCGGTATCGACCCCATGAAAAATACTGACCCATATCTAGAGCTTTAATTTGAAACTTTAGTGAAATTTTATTAAATAAAGGCTTCATATGTGATATAGTTTTTGAGCTGAATCAATAACCCTCTGAAAGCGCCCACGTGTAGGCGTCAAAAATCATTTTCGTTTAGGGCTGGAAACCTCATACTTAAGATGTGAAGTTTCATAGACCGACGTACTATATATTTGACTTCACCATAAAAGCTGAGGTTGATGTTAATCCTCCCACATAGTCTATGAGAGGTTTATTGGGCGCCATTGTCAACCATAATATTTTACCTTCCTTGAAAGGCTCAATACTTCCTTAATGGCTGACTTCACGCTTCACGCGTTTTGATCCACGACGCAATTCAAGCAATTCTGCTCAGACATGGATTTTTTCTCTTGGGGAGATCATGAAGCATTTAAAAAACTGTTTTGCTTTCTCTATTATTTCAACGAATAGTAGCTAGATATTGATGGCATTGCGACCTATCAAACATCAAAACTCATAGCTACGTTTAATAGGGGCTAAATTAACAGCGAATCCTCTACGAAAAATTCCAAATTTCTGAGCTAAATTCACTGGTGAATAAAAAAGCTGAAAACTTTAACACTTTATGTACAGTCAAGTTCATATTCATAGAATTACTCCGTTTAAATTTACTCCAGTTATTGAGGGACATGAGTGGCCGTCCTACTAATTACATTTTAAAAGGAGTATTTGAACCACACATAAGGTGACTGAGGTTTCTTTGATCTCCGATAAAATCTTGCATTCTACGGTGCTGCAAACAATTCATAAATGGCATCAAAAAACGTATCTTCTCCACTGTTCCAAACAAAAATAAATATTTGATAGCATCAACTACTTGGCGCCCGTTTGTGACAAAACGAAGCAGGAAGCAGGAATCTTTAATTGTGTCAGTCGAGGGAGGTGGCACGTGAGGCAGCCCAACAGGGATGATGAGGTAATCGCGTTGAGGCCTGATATGAGGTGTGGTTTTATTGCTTAAAGACCCTTAAATGTCTAGAAGTTATGATTAATTTCAGCGTAAATCCACTCAGGCTATAGCATGTCTGACGCAAGTCATCGCTCAGAAGTATTTGTGATCATTAATAAGTTGAAGTGTTTGCATTGGGATTGATTCAGTACGAGAGATCGTCAGAAACGGCAAACCTCAAAAACAAAAAAATCAAAAACAAAAAAAAGACAAAAACAAAACAAAAAGACCCTATGCACATCCGCAAAAATTCGACGCTTGGACACTTCTCAATTTGGAATGAAATAAACGCAACTTGATGTATTTTCTTATTTTTCGGGAAAGAGATTGTTTCAGACCTGTTTTGGTTTTATGAAAAAGAAGAGAGCATCGATGTTTTTTATAAGCCACTTTCACAAAATTATGCACATATAAGGGAACGCTTTACGGAGCGCACTCATGACCCGATATCAAACACCAAGGTATTTACCACAGATAATAAGTTTAATTTCCATGTCTACGGTGTTCGGAAGACAAATAACATTCTAAAAAATATTGCGTTATTTTGAGCAGTGTAATGCAGCGATATATGAAAGAAGGGACGTAGTAGATAAAGTTACATAAATTAGTTCGCGCTAATCTATCAAACGTAGCCTCTTGTGCATCATGGTGTTTCCATTTCGCTGGGTATTACCACGTAAAGACATGAGTTTGGTGTGAAATGCCAGGAAATGTTGTGTCTATTTTTAATTGTAATATGACGATGCGTGAGTTGAGGGAATGGACACCGGATGAATTCACACCTCGGAGTCCGACCTGAAATTATAGGCTCTGTATTAAGAGACAATTCAAAACAGATATAGTTAAGCACGCTTTATTTGGACGTGCCATGGCGATTAGTAGAACAAAACATTTGCTTTGTTAGCGGGATTAAGCACTTAACTCCAGCTGTAATCCACAGTCGAATGTTAGCGCAGGACGAGTGGGCTAAACCTGGATTCATTTCACGCACCAATCACCGTACATGCTGGAAATATCCGTTTAATCTCTGGAAGCAAATACAAAAATCTCAAGCATGGGTAGGTAAACGAACTTAGTTATAAACGTTCCAATGTTTTATTTTATGCATGATGGAAGCAGTAGGACGCCACAGTACAGATCACGTTTGTTCACTCATACCTGTTTAGAGCCCACTTAGAGACCAGTCATTGTTTATTTAGAAGGATTTGAGGGGGGTGGGGGCGGGGTGCAAGAGTTTTCAGTGGAGATGGAAGGGGGGATCAACTGCCGCCAACATAGAGAGAGGGGCTTAAAAATATTACAAACCTTAAAGGGGTCAGGTAAGTTATATCGTGACAAAACAATATACTACGTGATTAAAATACATGAGATTAAAATATTTCAAACACTAAAAACGTTTAAAAGGGTCAAACAATCCAAAATCAGTAAAATATACAGATATCTTTAAGTGTCAGCCAACATCTGTAAATGAATTCTACCAAACAGTGTTTCAGATCCGTCTCAGTGCCACCATCGATGCAGACGTCAGTTTGTCTGTTACAGAAAAAAAAGAATTACCTAAATTTATCTGACACCCACGGATGGTTTGGAGATTGTTAAATGTCAGGGATTGTTTTATGAAGTCTAATTCGATAAAGACTGAAGTTGGCAGGAAAAAGATTTAAAAGTAATCCAAAAACTTTCCTTTAAGTTTAATTGATGCTTACACCTAGTATAGGGGAACACTTCTCGCCAATATTTCGTCTACTCGAAAGTGTATTCGCTCTCTCTTTTCCCTCTCTCACTGTCTAGGCAATAATTGAGTAAGCCTTACTGGATATAATATTTATGTGCACAGACCCGCCATTGACTTTAACAATATTTTTCACGACGCCATCATATTCTATTTAATTTACAACTCGTCTCCACTCTTCTCTCGTGGCCTCTTTTTCATTCTTTTAATCTTGTACTTATGTCTTAAAAATGCACGCCATTCCCCGATATACTAGTTTACCTAAATCGAATATGGCATTCCATTCATGGCAAAAAAATTTAGCGTAACCAAATTCGCCTTTTACACTCTCTTACTTCGGAGGCTTAATTGTTGATTCGCAAAAATTTAATTATCTTTCATTATAACTATTCCTGGATCACCCGCACAACTTTTTAGAAGTTATATCATCAAGGTGCCTCGATGTCCCGGCTATCAGGTATCTTGCTCTTGTACACCGCCCGATATTTCCTTTAAAACAGTGAGCAGGAACACAGACGGTCGCATCGGTGACATACCGTCACAGGAAGGCGCGCACTCAACAGGATAACAAAAGCAGGTGAGCGAGTGCTTAAACTCATAAAAAAACTAAAGGCTCTTCTCACCTAACTAGTGCCAGTTTAACGGTTTTAAAAATATCCCGTCCCTAAGAGAAATTTACTGTAAAGATCTTGACAATATTCTTAGTTTTGGTATTGTAAGTAGAAGTTTTTGCGATTTAATCAGGCCTTAGAAATTGTAAGGTAGAACTCTGTCGAGAATGTGGAACTCGGCTATAAATTGAGAGCATTTGGTAAACTTTGATTTGTAATATTGTCAAAAATACTCTCTCTCATTTGTGGATTCACATGGAATTTGTCCTCTACAACATTTAATCATAACTCTGTGCTTCTGTTAATGATTACAACAGTAATTACAAAATTTTACTGAAGAGCTTTGTTTTTAGAAACGGTTCTTTTATTTTAGTTACTTGGCCGCATAATCCATCGTTTTCCTTCTAACATCTCGGAACCAGACAAATTCTATGGTCTTCAGAACACTTAAAACAGTTGAAATTGTTGAAAATTGAAAGAAAAAAAAACACGCCACTTTGTTCACGTACACGTATTTGTTCAAACCAGTATTGTGAAAACAATTTAAGTGAGTTTAAGAGAGTTTCATATTGGTATACCATATGATTAATGGCGACTTTTACCGAAGGCGTAATTAGCAATGAACCTAGACGAGGCCTCAAATATTTCATGTCAAAAATTTTCGGTCAATTTTGGTGGATTTCGTCGGTCATATTTATTCAAAAAAAGCTCTTTACTATGGATGAGTAACGAAGTGTTTTTTCCACGAGAGGTGCTTGACAACGTAATTGTATTGTTTTATAAATGTATATATAGGCTTTGAAGCAATGATGCACATGATCCACGCATGTCAATATTAATATTGAATGTTCTGCACTTCCGACTATTTCAGTAATAGCCTAACTCGGAAAATAAAATTATAAATGAGAAA